GAGAATCCTAAGGAAATTTAATGACCAAGACACTCAGCAGTCTCCAAGTATCAACCTCTGGATCAGAGAATGCCAGAAGTAAGAGCAGTTCAGATTAAGGAACACTTCATGAGATCTTTCTAGAAACTGAAGGTAAAAGCATACAACAAAAGACGAAAGGCTGGGAGGAGCCCGGCTCCGTACCTGCTCCGTGTCCTGCCCCTTCTCCATGTAGTAGAGTTTGTAGTTCTGGATCTCCCCATTGCCAGAGAGCGGCGTTTCCCAGCTCACTGTGACGGAGGTGGGGGAGCTGGCGTACGCGCGGATGTTGGGCGCCGGACCAGGAAGCTGGACTGAAATGGAAGCGGGAAGCTGCTAGTCACCAAGCCCAACCACCAACATTTTCCACAGCCAGTTATTTTAGCATCAGCTATTCACCACTCCAGTTAAAAGATGGGTATTTTTTCACATTTCAGCATTTCATGTGCGTGTTTTCAAGTCCCACCAGAGAAGTGGTCACAGTTGGCTTCGTTCTGTTTCCCTGGAATGGTTTCTGTGCTCTAATTCGTTCCTGCAGAGAACTTCTCCCTGGGTCAGATCCCTTTTGTCCTGAACGATCCTAACAAAGGACAGACTTTGCATTTCTTAAAGTTCTCCTTTTTTTTTCCTTTAGGTAATGACAATTTAGAAGTATTTCTCTTATCAATTCTTCTCTAGTGGTGAGAATAAATCATAGGAGCACATGAACCCAGAAAACCATTTTGAAACCACAGTCTGCAAGTGCAGCACTGAGGGCTAGCACTTGTTCTGGGAATGGAGACAAATGGGGAAAACAAGGAACAGAGAAGTCGATCCCAAAGTGAGGCAGACTCCCAGCATTACAGCTTACCCTCCGGCTGAGTTGCCACCTTCAGCGGCACCGAGCTCTCTCCGGGGCCATGCTTGTTCTGAGCCACCACCCGAAAGACATAAACGGTTTCTGGCATCAGGTTTTGGATCATCACTTGTGTCTCTCCAGGACGACTGGTATTTTCAACACGTTCCCTTCAGGAAACAGAAGGTTTGAGCACAGAAACAATCACCGATTAGTAAAGGGGTTTTGGAAGGGTGAAGAAAGGAATCGTTGCTGCTAAGATGTATCCTGTCTGAAGGTGTCTGATGTGTTGATGATGTTATTAATACTGCCCTGACTACACAATAGAACAGTAACATGCCAGAATTGCTGCTGACAATCAACTAACTCTGTAACTTCTCTTTAAATATGCACTGAAATAAAAGGGTAGATTTTCCAGTCTGTGCCGAATGCAGCGCAGGACCCTTGATCATCGGTTATCAAGCTCAGGATCAAGGGGAAGAGTTAAAGTTTAATCATCAGCAAAGTGCAGCCTGGATTTGCAAGGTGCTGCTGTTGTCATGGCAAGCACCACAGAGTTCCCTTTGGGCAGGGTCACCTGCACATCGTTCTGCCCGTGGAGGAGCCACCCACGCCCCCAAAATACAGCTGATGGCAGGATCACAGCAGGAGCAATCCAAACCTTCCCCGTGAGAAAATGAAGGGAAAAGGCGGCTGCTTTGGATACAATCCTTTCCCTTTTGTCTGCCGGACTTCGTTTAGCTCTACAGTAGAGGGCAGACGATTCTCATCCCCAGGATTAGCTGCTATTAAATAATTTTTAATGCAGAAGCCCAGGCAAGATTATCCCAGTCTCCCTATTCCTACCTTCCAGTCATTCTCTTTAGTTTATATATGGAAACATGATTCCCAAATCCCCATATTTCATTTGTTTCTTTTTAACTCAACTGGTAGAGTTGATACAGCATAACTTAGTTGAAACATTTTGAAATCGGTGTTGATTTGTGCACTGTTCCACTGTATCCATACAAAGGGAAACAATACTGCAACTGAAGATCTAGTTAAATATTTCCAGGATATTCTCCTTCATGAAAGCTGAGCTAAAACGCCATTGCAAAACCGGCCTCATTTCAGAGTTTTATTCATTTCCATTGTTAAATGAGCAGCGCCATTACAGCATACTTGAATTTAAAATGTCTGTGAAAGATTTTTTCTTCTTTTAATGTTTATAAAGTCTTTTTTGTGAGAAAGGAGCCGAAAGAGAAACGAGACATGCCCAAGAACTATTGCAAGACCGACCACAGAATGAAACTGGGGAGACAGGAAAAAGAAAAATATTTTGCCTCACTAACTCAGTTATAGCTAGCACAAAATGTTTGCCCAAAACCACATTTTCCAATGGGTAATTTCCTTTAAGATGTGTCTGAAAGACGGTGGTCTCTGAAAACTCCGAGTCAGTGCCAGCTGATTCACAGCTGTGGAATAGCATCCCGCCCCCACTGACATGCAAAATGCATTTTCTGCCTCCAGTGTAAATGTGCTCACTGATTTTATCTAGGAAAAAGGAATAACTGGCACTCCAAGGTTATTATTTAAAATTACAAGAAAAATCAGGATTATTTTAATGGAAAGACAACATTTATCAAAAAATAAACAGACATGTTGAAGTGCTGCAATTTTCAGTAGTAAGTAGGAACTGCGCCTTCCCTCGCAACAGTATGGTAAAAATACGTTGAGATTAATCTAATTAAGTGCTCCATGAATCTCTCGTTTATGCCCTTTTGTAGGGAGCCTTGAGCACCTTCTCCCAGCTCAGATGTCTTTAGGTGGGGCTTAATAGGTAACAAACCAGATGGTCTGTATGAATAACTGTAGTACTCTACAGAACATTATGACTGTTGTAACTCATTCCAGTTTAATCCCCAATTAAAGAGCTTTGTAAACTGGAGTGAAGGTCTGTAATAGCTATCAAGGGGCTAAGCCTGCGCCTCAGAACCAGTGACAAGCACTGATCTGGAAAGGGGAAGCCTGAATCTACACGTCCACCTCAGGCAACACGTCCATGGCATTACTGCCCGAGACAGCGCTGCCAGCCGCAGAGCCTGGCGCGGAGCTCAGACACTCACGGCACCATTACACCCAATTAAAGCCCATTTTCTCTCCTTGAAGCAGGCCACGTTCAACCCGGGGCTTAATATTATTTGAACACTTCACACAGGTTAATTTACCATCTTGCACCAGCCATGGGCCAGCTACCGCTTTAAGTTCTGTCCAGACCTTGAAAGGTTGGAGCTCTTCTGCCTCAGTGCTGGTCTGGTCTAAAGCTTCCCAGACTCAATCTGCCCCGGCTTTGCCTCCCCAACACATCTGAATTTGAATCCCATTTGAATTTTCATACACTTTTCAGAAGAACTGTCTTCAATCATACAATCGTTTTGGTTGGAAGAGACCTTCAAGATCATCAAGTCCAACCATTCAATGTGGAAAAAACATGTAATTAAACAATCTGTAAGGAAGATAAACCATCAAACCAAACTTGAATTATTTCAGAAGCAATAAAAGCACCTACTACAACTTGGGCAGCGTTTGTATTTTTGCTGTAATTCCTTTTTTGCTGCTGCTTATGAGTCTCGTCTAGCATTCAACTTAGGGGCTGACATTTTTCTGCAAGTTTAAAAGGTATATGTAATTTCTCTGGGGGCAGAGGGCACCTGAAGCAGCTGGTGGCATAAAGCCAATAGTGAGGCACAGGAAGAGCCTTTCGCAGGAGTGCCCCATAATTATGGGGGGGGGGGAAATGACATTCCTTGAGCAGAGGAAAATAAAAGGAAGGTAAATCAGCAGTGGCTGAGGCAGCCGGTACGTCAGGAACCGCGCTCCTCGTGCACTGCACAGAGACTGAAGTGCTGTTCACAGTATGAAGAGGACTCTCCACAGCCCTTCTGAGACAGTTTGGAGATGTCAGAATATCTCCCTAACCCATTCCATCTTAGAGGTGTTTTTTTCATTTTTCACAAGCCTGATTTGAAAGGTAAATTACTCAAATCCCCAGTTCAATCACTCCTTAGACACAGATGAGGAGGAGACAACACTTGGGTCACTAAAAGGATCTGGTAATGCATGCAAAGAAAAAGGTCCATGTGGGCAAAGGCTGTAACAGCGTGAGGAGATGGTGCACTTAAACCCACAGCAAAGATCCATGACCATGTCTAATTCAAGGAGTACAAAACGATCACTTCAGCAGGGTTTTATAATACTGGGGAAGAAAGGAGGGTGGCACAGCCAAGCTTGACTTCAAATTTTCTCATTTCCAGCTGTTTAGGTGTGTGTGACACACTCACCTGTTTTTTTTTGCTTGGCAGGTTGTCCTAGGATTTCTTCATGTATTCACCATGAGTTAGAACATTCCTCTTACCCTTTGTCCTGCACGTGCTTTTGGCCTAAGAGGAGTATGTTCTAGATATCTATAGCCTGGTATATAGTGGAAGGGGATGCATTTTGTTTCCTCAAAAGCAGTACTTGAGAGGCATGAAGCCATCTCCAGCAGATTTTTGACACTGAGGGTGGTGAGCCCCTGTCCCAGGTTGCCCAGAGAGGTGGTCGATGCCCGATCCCTGGAACCATTCCAGGTGAGGTTGGCCGGGGCTCTGAGCAACCTGCTCTAGGTGCAGATGTCCTTGTTCAGTGCAGGTGACCTTGAAAGGTCCCTTCCCACCCAAACCATTCTGTGATGATTCTGTGAAGATGTCTATCCACAGAACTGAGAGCGGCAGCTCCCCATCAGTACCTGTGCATTCTACATCCACTTCTTCTCTTTGAGTGACTTTAACTTTGACTCTCATGCTCTAGTCAGTATGTAGACAGGTAATTTTCTCTTGAGTACTAAATCCGATAGGTGAGCTAATTTGCAAGTAATTAAGCATCACTCAAAATTACTTCAACTTCTCTAACTTCTTCAAACTTACCACAATTGGAAACTGTCATTCTGAGCAGTAGATCCCATCAGGAATTAAAAATGGGTGGACTGAGCTAAACCTTTGAGATAGTAGGTCCAAAACTCAGAGTGCTTCACGTTGATGAAGTCTCTAGTTACAGGGTTCACTCGGAGAGAATCAATGTTTAACCACCACCTTCCACGACACTGAACTGACACCTACCACACGGTTCTCTCTAGACTCAGACTCTGTTTATGGGGTTTTAAAGCACAGAGTGCTGGCTCTCAACAGCACAAGGTTTGTCCAGAGATGGTTCCATGCCCACCATGGATGGCATTTCTAGCAGTGTCAGCACTCCTCAAGAGGGGTCACAGCCTATGCCTGCTCTTAGTTGCTAAACACTCTGCTAAAAGTGGGTAGCAACTGCTTGGGGTCAAACAGAAGACCAAGCATTGCTCATAAGGGTATGAATATGCTGCAACGAAGCAAATGGAAATGCGCTCCTTCTAATCAGGGTGCAGGAGGGGAGGGAACAAAACCCCTTGGGCTCTGACGCTCAGTCTCAACAGGCTGCAAAGATCTACAGTTGATAGCCCTTCTAAGCAAAGCTAGCATGAAGAAGAGCCATGGAAAAGCACGACCCATCGTACACGTTGATATCTTTACCTGTTAATACCTTCCTTGGTGTAGAAGATTGAATAGGTGAGGTTGTCTCCTTGAGGGTCCGAAACAGGTGTCCGCCAAGTCAGTCTGATGAAGCGAGTGGAGACGAGGGTGGCCACGACGTCCCGCGGGGCTGAAGGCAATGGTCCTGTTGTAGCTGGTGCTAGATGGTCATTAGTGGCACTGGTCAGTGAAGTGTGAGGTAATGTTGGGATGGCAACATCTTGTCATGTGCAAACATTGGGGAATATGAAGGGCAAACATCACCACGGTTTAAAAAAAAGAAGAAAACAGAAAAAAAAAAAACACAAAAGAAATAAACAAAACCACGATGGGAAACAAAAGAAAATGAACACACACAAAAAAGGCCATTAAACTGAAGGCTGACATGCGGGCCAAGGTAACTACTGAAACTATGGGAGCTATCAAAGGACACGTCACTGTCAAGCAAGCAGACCAGGTCTCCACTGGAATGGAAGTGGCAGGGGGAGGGGAAGGGTGAAAACTGAGGATAAAATGTATCAAATTCATGACCTCCTCGGAGGACGTACCAGCGGCAAACAACGTTTTCATTTCTTTGTAACCCAGGTGTAATACCAAACGTTTACCAATGAAAAAACCCCAATTTGCATTATTTATTTAGAACCACATCCAGCCCCAAGTCCCTGCATTATTCCATTAACACATAGCATTAATTGATACCACTCTCAGTCATTAAACAACGACAGGTGACTACAGGAAGTCCGTGTAAGAAGTGCAAACTCATGCAGCAGGGTGTGCAGCTAAATGCCGGAGCCAACGCCTGTGGTCACTGCCTCCTGGAGCCCTGCTTCGTGTCCTGCAAAGACTTCACAAACTTTTTCTTGTGGCAAGTCCTGCCTGTCTCCCTGTGTTACTGCTTTAAAGCCAGGATAAACGGCTGGGATTAGTGCATTAAAAGGTTGGCGAGGTAACAGCACAAGCGGCAACGTACAAATCGCTGCTCTCCAAATCCTATTAAAGCAATCCATCCAGTAAATCTAACAGTAATATTCGGAGCAGCTGGACCCCAATTACTACAGAGTGTTACAGGAAGCACAATTAGTACCAAAACCCTGAAGCTCAAGATACCCTGAATTGTTCTGGATTCTTAACTATTTACCAAGCTTAAGCCACCTGATGACATTTTCCACATGGGAATCTATGCTGCCAAATACATTTTTCGCTTATTAATTATGGAAACTAACTAAAATGGCTCAGATTTTGCCCAGAAAGGAGCTCAGGACTAGCACAGAGTTTGTTGAGAGCTGCAGCATCTTGCCTAATGTAGCTCCAGATTACGTGGACTTGTGGCTTGACGGACGTGAAGCAAACCCCACGCAAAACCCCTGACTAAACAAGAAAACGTTATCAGAGCAACCAAACCTTCTTGGCTGCACTGAGAAGTCCATTGTCATCAACCACCTGATTTTAAACTCTAAAAGAACCTTGTCAACCAAAGCATCATCTCACACGTACTTGAATTGGCAGAACGAGAGTTTTTCATTCCTGTTGCTCAGGCAACTCCTGACAATGGTGGAAGAACAGATCTGCACAGTGTAACAGAAGTGTGTGGGCAGAACTACAACACACCTCGTTGTGGCGTATCAACCACTGCTGTACAGTCCACCACAGAAACAAGGGTGAACTTCTGGGGACTGACAACCTCCACAAGTGAGGCCCAGTTCCTCTTTTTTCTCCTCTTTTTCAGATACTGCCCATCCTGTCAACTGGGAAACTTTCACTCCCCCAACAAATGCTGGTGTAAATACAACCACCAGTTTAATTTCAGGGCAATGGTGGGTTTCTTCTTGCTTTCATGCTAAAGTCAAGGCTTCTTACTTCAATACCTCTATCTTTACAGCACTCTGCAAGACTCCTAAAGCCAGGAACATGCATATTTTGGTACTGAAAATATAGATCACAGAAAGACAAGTACTCAGGAACATCATCTTAATTACCCTTTCCACCCTGTAATCGCCCCAAACCACAATTAATTATTTTCCAGCAACCCCCTCCTGATAAATAGACCACACCATTAATTTCACACTCATTGCAAAATCTACACTACTGTTCTGTTCCTGTAATTAGATCTCCTACAGAAATGCACCACATTTTAGCTCTTCTGATGGGCTCAGACAGGGCCCCTACGCCCTACAACCGTGTTATTGCAGACTACTCGCTACAGCGTGTGCCACCATACAACTCCACACTGTGTCTCATGGTACAGTGCAATACTCCATGGAGCAACAGCAGCATCTTGGGACAGAAAAGCTTCTACCTCAAGTAATCAGCACTTAGAGTTACAACTACAAGCTTACTCCAACCTACAACGTCACCATTTCTCAAAGCAGTGAACATCGAAGTGTGTTGTAGACAACTTCTTGACACTGACGCTCGATGACCCAGCAGGAGAGGTGCTCTGCTACATTTGCTATTTGTAAATCAGGAACATTTGTTCAGAGGTTTGATAGTCAGTGGCATCCTTAGCTGAAATAACCCTTGGATGGAAGAATTTAAGACCCTGAGGAAACTAAAAAAAGACATCCAGCATCAAGAAGATGCAGAATTACAGAAGAAACTTGAGCATGGACACAAGACCTGTGCAATCCCATGGACAGTAGGCCATACTGGCAACTGAGATCAGGAGAGCTCGCTGACCCTCAGGGACAAACCACTCACACCCCCAGAAAGATCGATTTCCCTATGAGAACAGAGGGGTACAGCAAGAAGGCAGCTTGGCTGAACTCCAGGTCCAGCACAGGAAGCAAAACCAGGGACCAATATGTCCGACCAAACATAAGACAGTAGCAGCACCCAGGCATGCAGAGGTGGAATTAGGAAAGCCAGACCTGGACTGGACAGGTGGATGGTGTGGCCTGTGGAGAGCTGGCTGGCCCAGCAAGCTCCCAGAGTCATGGTGAATGGGATGAAGATTACCAGCAGCCCAGGAGATGAGCACCATTACCCAGGGCTGGATTCTGGGCCAGAGAAGACTTCCTACTTTCACCAGTGACCTGGAGGATGGGACAAGGAGCACCCACAGCAGGTTTAAGAGTTCCCTTGGACTGGAGACTTATCACTGCACCCACCTCTACTCTTTCCACATCCTACTGCCACTGAGGAAACGAGGAGCAGAACACCTTGGTGCCTATGGTTTTCAGCATCATTCTCAGAGCTCATGCCTGACTGAGTCCCAGTTCATTTCAAATTTCACTTTACACTTCAATTGAATATTTTCCCCTTGCAGAGAGCTTTAATTTCCTACCCTTCTATTAGCTAATTACATTAATAATGTTATTTAAAACCATGAAACTGTTTGGGGAATAATCTGCAGGGAAGCTGTTATAAAAGCAAACCTGTGTTTTACAGCTGCATCAGCCACATGCCTTCTGAAGTAGCAACTTCTGAAGCAGCATCTGCTGAAGCATTTTGGTGACCTCTGTTTCACAGGTTATTTAAACTATTTAAGAAAAGAAGCACCTCCATTTTTTTAAAAAGCAGGTTAAACCACTTCATTTCCAGCACAACAGGTAGTTGGTACTCCAAGAAATCCCTTGCAGCCCACGTTCCAGTTGCTCATTTTAATTCTAGGAAGGCTGCAGGAGGTGCATTTCTACTGCATGAACTTACAAAGACCAAAGCTCCACAGAAAGGTCTTGGATGGCCGTGCTCCAGGACAGTGGTGGTCTGTAGAGCTGGGATACATATTTGCACTCAGAATGCAAACCACACTATCTTCCAGCCTTACATTAATACTTCGGTTCCTCTTATATGTCTTGGTAATATTGTTGAGTGCTCTGCTTCAAATTACATGTTCTCGAAGCAAAGGATGCGTCCTACCTATCTGTAAAAGTCATTCTAGTAGTTAAACTGCAATACAAATATTTGAAAAGTAATTAAAGTGAAAGAAAATGCTGAAATTTCTCTACGGAAAATTATTCCCCTGATAAATTTTAAAAATTCATCTGCTTAATCTAAAACACATCCCACATGCTCATGTATTTGTCTCCCTATATAATGAAAAAGATCCATCTTTTACTGAAGCGATCCGCACACGGCACTTGAAGAACCTGCAGGCGTCAAGATGAAGAAGAGTCTGGGAGAGCTGCCAAGACTCCCTGCACAAGCAGAAACCCTGTTTTATCCTCACACAAGACTCGAACCCCAAAATGTGCTTCTGACAGCATTATAGGTAGATCGGGCCAACAACAAAAAACTTGTGGCATCTGAAAGATAAACTGTGAACCAAATAAAAGCACAAAGGATTTGTTAATTCACGTGAGTAAGGTAAGCAACAAACAGGCACAAAAACTCGCCCACTGGAAGCTGCAATTAAATACCAGCTTGGTGGCAAGGGGCTGCTGCTGATAGCTGCAGAGTGCACTTAGAAGACTTAGTTATTTCCTTTCCTTTTTTCCCCCATTCTTCCTCAAAATGCCTTGTCTGTCATTACAAACTGATCTGTACGCAGCCGTGGGAGCAGAACGCTCAGCAGTGCCGAGCTGCCTTAATGAGTAATTACATTCAAATTAGTTTTAATGCCAATAAGGGAGCAGCTTTATTACTTGGGGCTTTTAAGCACAGTGCAACAAGCAACATGCAAAACAAGTCTCTTCTTTCTCACAAGTCATTTCATCACTTTAAAGAAAAAATAACGATCCTCAGGAATACACTTTGCAGGGGCTGAGCGGGGGAGACTGAGGTTAAATAAATGCTGCCGAGAGGATGCATTAGAACTGCCGCAATACGATTTTAATTCCAGATCGATAGCCGAGGAAAGGCAGCTGATTTATCCGTCTGCCTCGAACAAAGTTAAAAGCTAACGAAAATAACTTAAAAACAAAGCAAAATATTTCAAGCAGTCCTTTTTCTGCTCCGTGCAAAAAGAAAATGCCCATCGGTGGCTTTGATCACTGTGGCGAGATCACGAGCGACGGGAATGTGTGACCGTGGTGCTCTTCTGTCACCATCCCCACCCCAGGATGCTGGTCTGGTCTTCTAAAAGGAGCCCTGTCCAACACACCACACCTGAGAATTACTGATTGAAATGCTTGACTGGTTAGCTAATTATTACAAATATTTTCCATGTTGTCCGGCCTCTCTGGTTTAGATTTCCTCTTTCCTCCTTTTTTCCTCCTGTGGCACGTTATTGGCATATTCGCAGCTTCCTCCTGCTCCGGGCAGTAACATTCCAACGATACC